TTGATCCTGTAGAGAAGACAATGGAACTTAAATCTACTAATGTAAGTTTGGCTCCCATTTGTTTTGATTTTAAACTAATAGCTTTTTTTTTTTTTTTTGTCTCTTTTATGGTTGATGTACAGGTGAATATTTACTCTTCACCGTACCTTAGGAAATCAATGATTATATGTTGAATTGTCTTTTCCTGTTTGCAGCTTAGCCTCACTGCTCCAGTGAGGCTCCTTATTGTTTCCAGGGGACAGCACACAATAAAATGAATTTGGGATCATGTGCACATTCTTACTGTAATGCTTTTGTCATATTCATTATTTTTATAATAAAAAGGAAGCAGTGAATAGTGAAATTTAAGTTCTGTTTTTGCAATAATATCAAAGTGGTTTATTTGTTATTTATATAATTACCTAGCATGATTTTGGTTTGTGAATTAATTTCATAAATGTTTTTTCATCTTTGTTCCAAAGTGATTGGAGTTTGTTTTTTTTCTTCATTCTGTAGATTTCATTTACAAATATGGTTTCAGTAGATGAAAGACTTATATACAAACCACATCCTCAGGACCCAGAAAAGTGAGTAAAAAATGTTTTGACAAACTTCTTTTACCAGGTGTTTTAATTTTTTTTTATCATATGTTTCTTAAAAAATGAAAGGTCATTCTGAAACGATGTGAATGTGTCGTATTCCAGAACTGTTTTGACTCAAGAAGCCATAATCAGTGTGAAAGGAGTCAGTCTTAGCAGTTACCTTGAAGGACTGATGGCGAGCACGATATCTTCAAATGCTAATAAAGTAAGTGAGGCTGCTCCCTGATCCTTACTCAAGGGTTTCCTGTCTTGGAAGAGCTTAGTACCAAGCGTGTGTTTGTCCTGGCAAACAGACTCTCAACCACGATGCAGTGAGAATTCTTTTAGGCAGTTTCTTACATAGGCTCTGGGGGCTGGCACCCCTGGATTTATGTGCAAGCCATAACTCTTCCAGCCTTTCATCCTTGGACAATTAAGTTAACTTTTCTGTGCCTCAGTTTCCCCGTCTGTGAAGTGAAGATCAGTCAGCCATCTTGCTAGGTTGGGCATGAATCGCAAATGAGAAGACCTGAAAAGCGTGGGAGAAGTACTTGGTGATGTCACTGTGTACCGTTGTTTAAGATGCCAGTTCTCAGCCTTTTTCATTATCCTCTCTGCCCTGCAACCTGCAGGTCCATTTTAGACATTCTTTTTCTCTAACGGCCACCAGCACATGAAAGTATTTAACACCATGGATAGATGAATGAAAGGGTGAAGGTGTACTTTGTACATTAAAAGAGTGAGATTTTTTTTTTACGTCTCCCCACCTCTGATATTTGCCCCCTTGGAGAATGCAGGATATGGGCAGCCCTCGTGGCGCAGCGGTTTAGTGCCGCCTGCAGGCCGGGGTGTGATCCTGGAGACCCTGGATTGAGTCCCACATCGGGCTCCCTGCATGGGGCCTGCTTCTCCCTCTGCCTGTGTCTCTGCCTCCCTCTCGCGCTCTGTGTCTCTCATGAATAAATAAAAAATAAAATCTTTAAAAAAAAAAAAAGAATGCAGGATATAAAACAATTTAAGTTTCGAGAAAGAGATACTTAATGCATTCTAGTCTAACACACGTTTAATGGAATTATTCAGCACTGCAAAGATACTTACAGATGTCTTCTCTGTATTAGGGTAAGTGCTGGGCTAGATAGACTAGGGACTAGCAGGTAACAAAACAAGTATGGTCCCTGCCCTCGTGGAATGACGAGGAAGTCGACGTTAATCACGTCATTAGGGAAGGAAGAGTACAAAGAGATGCAGGTATTTCATAAGTGTTCTGTTGAGTGCTGAATGAGGGACACATCGGCTGTGAGGGATGTGCTGGGAAGCCTGTGGCAGAGGGGCTGCATGTGCAAAGGCACTGAGAGAGGTAGCAGGAAATACTCCTCCTTTCCTCAAGAACCTGCATAAAGTACCAGGAGAGACTGGTTGAAGAGGGAATCGGGGACCAGATCTTTCAGCACCTTATCCAGGATTTTGGTTTAAAATAATGGACTAAAAGGGACATGTGCGTGGCTCAGCAGTTGAGCGTCTGCTTTTGGCTCCAGGTGTGGTCCTGGAGTCCCAGGATTGAGTTCTGCACTGGGCTTCCTACTTGGAGCCTGCTTCTCCCTTTGCCTGTGTCTCTGTCTCTCTGTGTGTCTCATGAATAAATAAATACAATCTTTAAGTAAATAAATAAAATAATGGCCCAAAAAAAATGGGTTTGACCTTTTGACCCCACCCCAAAGGGACCACTCTAACCTGAAATAAATGATCATGATCATTGAATCGTGGAATCTTTTGAAAACATCCTCTGAATACAAAATAAAAATGAGTTTATAGATCAATCCAGTTGCCCAAGGCATTCAATATTTGGTAAGTAATATTAAAGTAAAAAAAAAAAAAAAGCAAGGACAAGAATAATCCATACTGATGAGGTTTAGTTATACTTGTAAATACTCCTTGTTACTTCCGGATGTGCCATTCATTGGATATGTGCCTCTGCTCTCACTTGGTAACAATCAATGTGTTGGATTTTTTTTTTTTTTTTTAAGGGCCGAGAAGCAATGGAATGGGTGATACATAAATTAAATGCTGAGATCGAAGAATTGGCGGCTTCGGCGAGAGGGAGCATAAGGACGCCGATGGCAGCGGCAGCGTTTGTAGAGAAATGAGGCTGAAAATTGGTGCTCCACATCCACTCCCCAGGTCTCTGCAAACCGGCAGTATATTTATTTGTTATTTAAAAAATAAAACTGTATTTTAGGTAGAGGGTTTTTTTTTTTTTAAATCTGAAGAAAAGCTATAGGACTTCTGATCAAAACACAGAGGTATAGGATTTCTAAATAAAAGGGATCATCTGAAGTATTGTTTGAAATGACCATCTGATTTTGAGGATTCCAGTATTTTGTGAAAATCGAACAGTTTTTGAAAAGTACTTGGAAAATCATATTGGCATATTAAATCTCCTTTAAGGTAGAATGGTAAAGCTTTTCATGCATTGTGATCTCTACCTGGCTTTGGACCAACCTCAGAACAAAGCAGAGCCACCTAAATACATAGAATTACCCTGCTGCAATAAACTGCAAGAGCTTGCACAAGGGAATGCTCTCTAAAAGGAGAAATTATAAAGTTTGAAAAGACATATTAATTTGTATAAAATAACTTGCTCTGCTATAAACCACCATTAAAAACCAGTGTTTTGTTTTGGTACTTATATTTTCGGAGTGAAAATTATCCCTAAAATAATCTATAACTCCCAACAACAACAAAAAAGGATTTTAATGTATAAAAGAGTACTGTATTAATTTGCCAAAATTGTGGAACTTAGGAAAGAAAGGTACTACCTTCCTCAGATTTGTACTTTATGACTTAGTATGCTTATACCGTGGGCTGGTGATGTTCACTGAAAAAATAAAGTCATTACCGGAATTTTGCAGCACTCTAAACTTAAACAGAAGAACAGCTGTTCACATCTTTTAGCATTTCACATTTGCCTAACTTATAAATTGCCATGTGTCAGAATCATGGCTCTGGAATTGCTAAAGCATGATATGTCAGGTTATTTGAATATAATTACTTTTTGAAGTAATTGTGACCACAAAACATCTTTTTTACATGAAGAGCTGTATGTCATTTGAAATTACTCAAATGATGTCTTTCTGAAGCATAAATCCCAGGTACTTAGTGTTTTTAATAATACGGTGCAACTGCGGGGGGTTGGGGGCGGTGGGGAAGAAAAAAAGAATAATGAGAGAAGCAGCATTGACCTAAGCCAACCACTATGTGAAGTGCTTTGCAGCTTTTCCTTATGGGAAATCAGTTATTTTGGATGCTAAGGGCAGCTGCAATCTGAAAAATAATCCAGTAAATATTTCATATTTTGTAGCAGGCAGTTACCAACCAGGAAATAATATCTTTGATATTTGCAGTTGTTGCATACGGAGTATTTTTGTTAAAAGGTGATTAGCTCTTGCCTTTATTTTACAGTGCTTACTGTAATAAACTCACCGGGTTTCCTGTAAAAGAAACCAGTTAGTATATGTACATAAACCATAGAAATAATATACCAAACTATTTAAAAATTAGTGTTTCTACTTAAAATGTTGTTTAGCTTAAGACTTCTTAGGACATTTGTAAAAGCAACTTCAATGAGGTTTTTGATTATTTTTTGTAACCGGAGATGGTTTTTACAAATGAAATAACGTTTCAATTAAAACATTGCAAAATATTGATCTTTGATAAAAAGTTTACTTGTATAATTTCTGTAAAATTATACTTGTTCTAAAAAAAGGTGTAACGCCCTAATGATAAAAAGATTTATAAGCAAATTTTTATCCTGTTTGATTTTTTTTTTTTTTTTACTCTGATCTAATGACAAAACTCCAGAAGTTCTCGTTTCCCGCTGTGGTTGAGTAGCCGGCAGTTTGCGGCTCTTCCCTGACGTTTAGCTCGCGGGAGCCGTGGATTCGGGCGGCCCGGGCGGCCGGGGCATCTCACCCCGCCCGCCTAGCGTTAAAGACGGAAGCTCTTGTGTTCCTTCGCGAGAACCTTCCTGGTCCCTGAAAACTGCCCTCGGAACTCTGGCGTGCCCGTGCGCCCCGCGGCCCTGGCGCCCCTGCCCCTCCCCCCGCCCTCTGCCCCGGGGACGCACGTCGGGGCGGCCCCCGCAGCGCACGCGCGCGCCGTCAGGCCCGGGATTCGCTCGGGCCGCGGGGGCGGGGGGGGCCAGCCCGCGCCGCCCTCGGCTGCCCCCCCCGCCCCCGCCGCCCCGCCGGGGTACTACGGAAGCCCGCGGGGCACACCGGGGCTCCCGCGGAGCCAATCGGGGGGCGCGGCCGGCCGGCCCGCCCGGGGATTGGCACCCGAGGCCCCGGCCGCGCGCCCCCATTGGCTCCCGGCGTCGGGGGGATTCCGCGGCGGGGCAGCAGGGGCTGCTTGGGAGGGCGGGCGGGGCAAGAGGCGCTGAGATTGGCAGGTCCGGAGTCCCGCCTCTTCCGGTTCCCAAGCCTGACCTTCCTGTCGCTGGGCCGCGCGCAGAGCCGACATTGAGGCGTCCTCGCGATTCGACCCGACGCGCCCCGCGCTCGCGACATCATGGTGGCGTACTGGCGACAGGCTGGACTCAGGTAGACCCGCGCTTCGGGGGTGCGGGGGGCCGGCGGCGCGGCCCGGCGTCGGAGGTCACGGCGGGGGGCGGGGGTCGGGGCCGCGGCGGCGGGGGGAGGGGAGCGAGGCCCAAGATGGCGGCGGGGGGCGGGGGAGCCTCGAGCCCCTGCGGGGACCCCACTGACCCCCGTCGGCGAGGGCAGTGGAGGCCGCGGGAGCTCCCGCGTGCGGCCCGCGCGACCACGCGACTTGCGGGGCCGGGGGGGGGGGGGGTCCCCGCCTTCACACCTGTGGCTTCGTGCACCCGCTGCCATGTGAGCTGACCGGGTGGCACCGCGGGCACGTGCGCGACACGGAGCAGCCCGAGGCCCGACCCTGGGGTCGATGACGGCGGGCGCCGAGTGAGACCCAGGCCCCAGGCACGGGGCGGGTTACTGAGCACCTGCTCTGACAGGTGCGGTGCCTCCCCCCCCCCCCCCCCCAGCGGGGCTCGCATCGTTATTCTCCTGGTTGATTCTCTCGCGTCTACAGGTGCATAAGCTCTCCGGAAGGATGGAGCAGCCTGAAGGTCAGCCCAATTAGTCAGAGCCTGAGGAGGCATTGAAATGCCTGCCTCTGGCCCAAAAAAACAAATCTGAAACCTAAGAAAATAGACAGCAGCACTCCTCCCCCCCCCCCTTTCCTGTTTTCAGAAAGTGTAAAAAGTGAGCTGACATTTTTTGGAAAATAAGATGTTGATGGGAGTCCATCTACCAAACAGGAAGCAGGCTGTTAGATGTTTTGTTAGAATTGAGGATGTTCTGTAAGGACTTTTCAGTTTCATTTAGAAACCTTAATTGGGAAGTGTCATCAGTGGCAGACTTGTAGAACAAAATCCAATATTCTCTCAAGAAAACCTTGAAGTAATCAGAGGAGGAACTGTTGAATTCAAAATAGTTTTCTTCCTCTTAATTACATATACTTTATCTTGTAAGAATAGCGTAAAGGTAAAAAAAAAAAAAAAGGGTGGGGGGAAATACTTATAGCCTCCCATAACATTTTGCTCTACTTCCTGTACTGTGGGATTTTTCTTTTTTAAAATCATTATGTATCTTTTACTTTAACATGTACTAAACAGGGAAGATGGTACAAGGAAGAAAAACCAAAGATTACCCATCCTAATATCAATTAAGACTTAGGTACATTTCTTTCTGGTCTTTTTCTCTGTGTAGATTGCTTCTGGCACTGATCATTTTTAAATCCAGTTCTACAATAATGTACAATCTAACCAAAATTAAGTATGGAAAGGAAAAAAAAAAGTAATACCAATCTGGTCGGATCATTGAACATTAATTTTATGTTATCTTTTACTTCCAGCTACATCCGATACTCCCAGATCTGTGCAAAAGCAGTGAGAGAGGCACTGAAGACAGAATTCAAAGCAAATGCCGAGAAGACTTCCGGCAGCACCGTAAAAATTGTGAAAGTGAAAAAGGAGTAATCTGTAAGTTACTGATTTGTTAGAGAAGACTTGCATCTTGTTTTTAGAGTACCTTCAAAACAAAGTAATTTTAGTTTTGAATTCTGACCGTTTTTTTTTTTTGGTCAATCAGTACATTCAGATGTTATTTAGCAGGGTAATAATTTAAAGCATACAGGTGATAGGATTCCTGTGGCATCATAAAAGAATCTTGTTTCGGGCCCTGACAAGCAGAAGTAATTGGCACATTGATTTTCAGCTCATTTAGCAGTGCTTAGGTAGAGAGCCATCTTATTTTAATTAAACCTGTTTCATTTGTCTGCACAACATCAAATAATTTGGAGGATAAACTCCCCACTTTTTGTAATTGCTGTCGGAGTTACGTAACAGCTCAGGGGCATGACAAATTGCGGTTCTTTGCGTCTTTATTCCCCCCCACATCTGCTAATGTTCTCACAAATGACTGCTTCCTGAACATGACGGCTACAAGCACAGGCAAGGGTCCTGTGATTTTATCAAGCAGTAACATCTGCAAGACCCTGCAGTGACAACTGTTTTTGCTAAATTTCTGATTCTTTCGAAGGTCTTGGTTCATCTTTCTTCTCCAGAGATACGGGCCATGTAGAGTGAATTCTGTGCAATAACAGTTTTGTACAGTTGATAAATTCTGACTCTTCGTTCCCAACTACCGAAGTGATTTGATTTCCAAACTTCTTCTTGACGTTGTTATTTCAAAGATAAGCAAGGCAAATAACCAGAGAGATGTTTTTCAGATTTAATTTTCTTGTTTGGCTTTAAAAAAGGCATCAGACCTGCAGTAGCTAGGAAATGTGATCAATATGAATCCTTTGGCAGCTTGTGGTTATGAGCAGTTTTACTTATTGGAGCTGTCTCCCCTAAGCACTTTTCATTTCCATTTTGAATTAGTAAATATTTTATTATGAATCTGGAGATGCGGTGTTTTGAATGTAGCCCTTTTTCTAGGGGCTCTCTGTCTCATCTCATAATTCTAAGTAATGAGACCTGGTTTTATCTTGCATTGTTTTGTTTTAACAATGAGCTAGCTGAGAAAATCACTGAGACCCTGCAGCAGAGCCGAGCCAAACTCTGCATCAAGCTACCTTGACCTTGGGATGTCCTTGGGATCAGGAAATGGTGTCCAGCTACAGTAAACAAAACAGAACAGCGAAACTGCTCTTCATATGCCCTGCAGGGGATGCTCCCAGCCCAGGAGCACAGGGGGCTTTTAGTGTCTTTTTAAAGGCAGAGTAGTTTCTTTATTGCCAGGAGTGTACTTGGTCCTGCTTAGGAGGGAAGAGTCCCCTGTTCAGTCAAGGCCGTGCAGGTGAACCAGCACTTCTAACAGCCAAGAGCCAAGGGTCAGCATCAGCCATGCGAAGTGACGCCAGAGTTATATAGTTCATGACAAGGAAGTCCTTGCCCATGTTCATGTTGCATTTTTAAGAAAACACAAAAGACTAGCAACTGGTGCATTTTTTTCTTTCCTCCTAGACCCTGATTAAAGCTTGAAATGCTACATTTTCCGAGGTGAAGATGTGTGGGTACATGTTATGGCAGATTGAAAACGATCTCCCTTCATGGAAAAAAAAAAAAAAAATCCCTGTCTTGTCCTAGGTTGACAATGCCAATAAATTAAAGTATGGTTCACTCTCACTGTTGGTTTTTGTTTTCCTTTGGACTTTTTATTCATAGGAACCATGTACTGCTGCAGGATTAGGACCTTGCAAACTAGAGTTTCTTATGGTGAGGGGAGGCAGATTTAGTATCTCATGAGCAGAGGGAAACAGAAAAGATGTTTTAAATGTCTCAGGATAGAAAGTTCTCTTTTTCATGGTATCAGTTGACAAAATTAGCCTCTTGTTGAGGCTCTCACTGTCCCTTATCTTTGAATTGCAGAAGCCACGGCAGAGTGGTGGACGGGTTTTTATCCACTGGCCTCATTCTCCTGTGCAGCTTCCTTAGCCAGTAGTCTAAATGACAATAATTACTAAAAGCATAGATTAGAGGGAAAAAGTACTAAATTGTGGTCTTCACTTTTTATCATACACTTAAAACCTGTGGAGAAGAACTGCTCATGTCAGGATTTAAGCAAGAAATGTGCTTCCCGTTGTTTTGTAAATGAATCTCTGTCCTGGGAGTGCTCCTCTTGGGAGATGGAGCAGAGCCATTCAGTACATTGCTCATCAAGTTGATGGCCGAGCTGGAGTTAAATCTTTAAAACTTGCCTGCAGGTCTCGGGCATGAGGAAGGCAACTGCTCCGTGGTGTTTGCACGGTGACTAGCTTCTTCATTAAATACTCAGGCGTGAAGACTTGTTGCAAGTGTTTTGTTTTTATCTTCCTTTGAAACTTGGAAGCACTCAGCTGAGTAAAACACCCACTGCAAAGTTAACTGCTTGATTTTTAACTGTTGTGGAGAATGGAGAAATAAATTTGAACAGGAAATTTTGAAACACTGTTCAGCTTCTATGCCAGGACCAGTTCTCACCATGGTACTTAAGCTAACAATAAGATGTGGGGGCCACTGAGCAGTGCTGAGGAGGAGCCTGAGAAAATGCTTTTGTTCTGCCTTCTGCAGGCGATTTCCTGCCCCAGGACACTTGACCTGTAGGTTTTATTTAATTCTTGGCCCAGAACCTGCAAGGAGGAGCTTCTGGATGAGTGTGAGAGTTGGGCCACTGGGCGGTAGCCACTTGAGGGTCCCTTTAACTCTTTGCCTGGGCTGATCGGCTGTCCTGAGGTCAGGGCACCTCAGTTGCCAGCACTTCGGTTCCCAAGATCAAGGTCCTAGGAAGCATCTTTCATTACAGGGATAGGAATAAATGGATCCCAAGGCTGTCAGGCCTTTTTCATAGACGAACAAAGCCGATGGGCAAAGGGCTGAATTCTTTCCAGCTGAGTAACTAGAGAGAAGTCATCTCAGGGAGAGTGGCAGATGGAGTAATTAAGGTGAGACTTAGGGGCCGGGGCTGGTGATAGGGAACTGGGTAAAGTAACCGAATAAAAGGCAAGTTTACTGCCCAACAAAGATTCTTCAAGCCTCTTTCTCTGTGATTAAAAATCCTGAACTGATACTGGGATAGAGTAAACTGTATCCAGGCCAGCTGGGTAGCTGGCCAGGACTACTGTGTCCAGACAACCAGGGGACCCTGATTAGACCTGTGGATATTTCACTAACTAGTTGAGTGATTTGCGAGGGAGTCCTTAATCTCTGCTGGTGCAGGGTTCTTGTGGGTAAAGTGAAGGAACCGGACAAGGTCTGAAATTCTGATCCCCTGTCTCTGCCTCTGAGACCAGTGTCGCCATGGCAACCATACCACTAAAGAAATAGGCTCAAAATCTGAGGGGACAGATTTCTTTTGGTTTCTAGTGGGGTTTTGTGTGTGTGTGTGTGTGTGTGTGTGTGTGTGTGCGCGCGCCATACAAAAGAGTAGGATGGTGAGATACATTTTGAAATATTTTTAACTACTCAAATTAATCAGTCTGGGCGGTTAGGCTCCAAGAAAAGGAATTTATTTAGTCTGTAATAAAGCAATTTAGCCATTTAAAATTGAATTTCCTTGTACTTTAATGATTACTATTGAGCAAACAAAAATCTTGACAGTAATATAAATCAGCAGGTTTTTTTTTTTCTTTTTTAATTTAGATTTGTATTCTTGTATCTATTTGATTGCCTTTTTAGATTGGAGAAAGAAAGTGCTAGAGGAAGCATATATAAATTCTTATAACTTCAAAGGTCATAAGTCTTTTTAGTTTTTAAGAAGTTATGAACTTCAAACAGCATAGGTACAGTTTCCTAATAAATCTGCTTTTGGTTTTAGTGCTTGAACCACAAGTAGAAAGTGTTTAAAACTCTTTTTTAAGTGTTGTAGATAAAAGGCTTGTGAAGCTGATTAGCAGAACCTCGTTTTCTCTCCATACAGATTTTATGTAGTTATATCACAATGCATACATGAGGAGTGATGTTTCTCAGCATGAGCAGCCAGTGTCGTGCAGCCACCTGCTATCCTTATTGCAGATTACAAACACGAATCGGGAAACCAGAGCCTAGTTGGTTGCAAGTAAATATTTCCTGCAGGGAGGGTCAGAGCCTCTTCCATTGCTGACTACCCATGGATCAAATAGGATAGCTCAGTGGTAATTCTAGAAGGCCATTAAGACCCTTATGGCCCTGGAAGGGATGGCTGTGCTGTATGTCAGAAATAGGTAAACTGTAATTAAAAAGTTATGGATGATTTGATTACACTCCTGTGTATTTGGTCCTGTTGTAATGTGAGCAGATTAAACTCTGGTAATGGCTAAAGCTGTGTCATCATGCAAACATTTATGGCAACTTCTGCAAATTAATTTGAACTGTAAAAGTTCCCTAATGAGCCCACGTCCTCCACAAGGAGGAAGGACGCTGCAGCAGGCGGCTGCCGAATTCCTGCATTTGAATGGTTGCCCAGCACACCGGGTGCCCTTTCTGAAAGAGCAGAGGCTACAGAGCGCTTTCAGAAAGTGTTTACTGAATGAAAGTGAAAAGGGCATTTTGAAATAGCCTTTACAAGGAAAACTGAAGATGGTGATTAATGAATTCCCAGAATCCAACACTCATAAGAAACTATCTCAACACACACATTAAAAGCTAGCTATTCAGAAATAAAGATCAGAGGATTGGAGTTGGTGAGTTTTGCCTGTTGTTTTGCGGGAGGGAGGTTGGCCAGGTATTTTGATGAAAAGCATTGCCACTTTTTTTTTCCTCCCTTTTTCCCTTTCCAGTTAGTACGCTGACGTGCACACAAGGTCTACACAATTCACTAGTGGATGCTGACTCACTTGCCTTGGCTGCACAGCTCCCCACGTACCAATTAGTCACCTGGCTCTTCTGGAGGCCAGCAAGTACCAGGAGGTAGGATGCTGGGCAGCATACATGACAGAACCTAGGGTAAGACTCTTAGCAAGGGTGCCAAGCAAGGGTGGCAGGGTGCTTGTCAGCACCACGAAAGTGTGGAGAGCACATGCTGCACACCCGGAGTCTTGGTGTCTGGTAGGGAGCTGTGCGTGCAGTGACTACCCAATCAACATTGTTAAACAAAGGCAGTGCTTCACGACAAATTCACTTTGCTATTAAAAACCAGTTAATAGAGTTTGCACAGGAGTATGGAAGTCTCGAAGGTTAGCGAATGCCAGCAGGAGGCCCCAGTGCCCCCAGCTCCCACCTGGGCCCTGTCTCCGGGACAGGGACCCTGCAGGGACCCTGCGTAGGCCTCACGCGGCCTCACCAGGTACCTGGGGCCCGTCTTCCGGCTCCATTTCTGCCTCCCCCACGGCCTCTGCGTCCTCCTCCTCCTCAGCGGCTTTGGCGTCCTGGAGCTGCTGATACTCGGACACCAGGTCATGGATGTTGCTCTCGGCCTCGGCAAACTCGCCCACGTCCATGCCCTCGCTGGTGTACCAGTGCACAAATGCCCTCCTGCGGAACATGGCCGAGAAGTGCTCAGCCACGCGGCTGAAGAGCTCCTGCACGGCCGTGCTGTTGCCCATGAAGGTGGCGGCCATGCTCAGCCCCGGCGGCGGGATGTCGCAGACGGCCACCTTGACATTGTTGGGGATCCAGTCCACGAAGCAGCTGCTGTGCCGGGTCTGCACGGTCAGCATCTGCTCGTCCACCTCCCTGGTGGACATGCGGCCCCGGAAGATGCAGGCCACGGTCAGGTAGCGGCCGCGGCGCGGGTCGCAGGCAGCCATGGCGTTGCGCGCGTCGAACACCTGCTGCGTGAGCTCGGCCACCGTGAGTGCGCGGTACTGCTGGCCGCCGCGGCTAGTGAGCGGCGCGAAGCCAGGCATGAAGAAGTGCAGGCGCGGGAAGGGCACCATGTTCACGGCCAGCTTGCGCAGGTCGGCGTTGAGCTGGCCCGGGAAGCGCAGGGACGTGGTGATGCCGCTCATGGTCAGGGACACCAGGTGGTTGAGGTCGCCGTAGCTGGGTGCCGCCAGCTTGAGCGTGCGGACGCAGATGTCGTAGAGCGCCTCGTTGTCGATGCAGAAGCAGGCGTCGGCGTGCTGCGCCAGCTGCTGCAGGGACAGCACGGCGTTGTATGGCTCCACCACCGTGTCCGACACCTTGGGCGACGGCAGGACACTGAAGGCGTTCAGGATGCGGTCGGGGAAGTCCTCGCGAATCCTGCTCAGCAGCAGCGTGCCCATGCCCGCGCCCGTGCCGCCACCCAGCGAGTGCACCAGCTGGAAGCCCTGCAGGCAGTCGCAGGCCTCGCTGGCGCTGCGCACGGCATCCAGCACGCTCTCGGCCAGCTCGGCGCCCTCCGTGTAGTGGCCCTTGGCCCAATTGTTGCCAGCCCCAGAGTTACCTGCGCAGGGAGAGGCCTGTAACCAGGCTGCCTAGGTGTCGGGGTTGGGGGGGTTGGGTGGGGGGCGGATACTGGGGGACCCTTGCAGGAAAACCTACTGTAGATGAAGCTGTCTGGATGAAAGAGCGCTCCCAGTTTGCTGGATCGGATGCTGTCCATCGTCCCAGGCTCCAGGTCCACCAGCAGCGCCCGGGGCACATACTTCTTACCTGTGTAGAAAAATAAGAAGAAGTCAGCAAACTGTTGTTTTTCTAATAGTTAATGTTTCATCAAAATAGAACCTTGTGATACCAGTCAGGAAAAAGCTATCCTAGAAGACAGACATTCAGAGTGATATCCTTGACCCCAACAACGAGTGCTCAAGTCTATAAAATACCTTCAAAATACTTTTTCCGTCATGTTCTGTTTTGTTTTGTCGTCGTGCCCATGATGGAGATTATGCCCCTGCTGGAAGTGTCTCTGGGTTTTCATTTAAAAACTAAACAGGAAAGTTGGTGCTTGGCAGCAGGTGTTAAGACACATGCACCCCTACCCCACCCCATGACTTCATCGGGGGTCCTTCCTTGCCCTGGACGGGACTTGGGGATCTGCTGCACCAGGGATTTCACGGCTCTGCCTGGACATCACTCTGACGCTCCATTCCCCAGGCCCTTGTCTGACCGCGTCCCTGGGGCAGGTGACCATTGCTACCAGAGCACAGGGTCCTACCGTGGGCCTCGTTGTAGTACACGCTGATCCTCTCCAGCTGCAAAGCACAGTCCCCGCAGTAGCCGCCCACTGAGTCGATCCCGTGCTCATCGCCAATCACCTCCCAGAACTGAAAGCAGCAGGAGGGGAAGTCAGTACAGAGGGACCCCCAGTAAAGGGCAGGTAGGCACCCAGGAGCCAGCAGGTTGACCAGAGAGACAGGAAGAGGGTGCTCCTGGGCCTGCCTGGAGCCGTCTGTCTGGCCTCTCCTTTCCCAGACGTTCTTTTAGGCCCGTTTTGTCAATGCCCACTGCACAGTGTAATTTGCTCTTGCCTCTACTAAACATGAATATGAAGACTGTGTTTTATACCCACCTGAATGCCTTAAATAAAATGCCAACACATAAAATATTAAATTGGATTTTGCTCCTATTAAATGGAGGCCGTCATATACATTAAAGCTGTCGTTTTACAATTTCACATCAGACAGGGTATCTGTAATTTCACCTTACAGTGCTTCGAGCTAGTAAAGTATAGATCCCATTAAATGAAAATGGACTGAATTCTTATCTGATTTTACAATAATTCCTCCTTCACTTGGGGATTTATTTTCATGCAGTTTTCCAAAAAGCCCATAACTAGGACATCCAGGCACGGCTTTTAGCAGTGTGCATTTTTCATGATCAGGTGTGCACACAATTCAAGATTATGCACAGCTCCTGCAACTATTTGAAACATATGACACTTTCAATCACACATACAGTATTTATTAATATAGCTGTGTGCAGAGCTCTTAATATGGAAACAGTTACTGAGATAGCCCCTTTCATTGCCCTAGAGAAGGACATATTCAAGTGCAATGAAAACATATTCATTTATGTTAAAATCCCCAAGGGTGTTTTCCTAGCCCTATCTTATAAGTGATGGCTGTGCCCTGGCCGGGGTCTCATTAACCAGACTCTATTTTATAGTAATTTACCAGCACTGTTCAGGGGCTGAAGGAATAAATAAATTTAAGTTCTATGACACCATCAACTAAGTATGGCCCCAAATAATAAGTAGTCACCAGGGCTCTAACGTTACCAGAAGACATGATGGTGCGGTAAGAGCGGAGGCCCTATCTTGACCCTGCACTTCCTCTCTGAGCCTGGCTCCAGATTATCTACCCACTTCAGAGGGCAGGGCTGGGGCCTCCCACTTCTCTGTGTTTGACTTAGGAAAGTCTCATCAGCGTGGTGTGGAAAGATGGGAACTTCATCTCCAGCAGTGATATTCTTTGCCCCAGCTTTTAAATAGCTGCATTAGGGACGCCTGGGTGGCTCAGCGGTTGAGCATCTGCCTTTGGCCCAGGTCGTGGTCCTGGAGTCCCAGGATCGAGTCCCACATCCAGCTCCCTGCATGGAGCCTGCTTCTCCCTCTGCCTCTGTCTCTCTGTGTCTCTCAGGAATAAATAAATAAAATCTAAAAAATAAATAAATAAAAAATAAACAGCTGCATTAGAAGACTAGTTCTTCCTAGCTGCATTATTCACAATCGTTAAAAGGTGGAAACAGCCTATGTGTCCATGGACAGATGAGTAGATAAAATGTGGTGTATCCACACAAGGAACTATTATTTAGCCGTAAAAAAGGAAGATTTGGACACAGGCTGCAACGTGGTTGAGCCTTGAGGACATAATGCTTTGTGAGATAAGCCAGACACAGAAAGGCAGATACTGTATGATGTCACTTTTATGAGGTTCCTAAATAAGTTCAAATTCTGGGGCACCCGGATGGCAGAGTTGTTTGCACGTTCGACTTTTTTTTTTTTTTTAAGATTTTATTTATTCATGAGACAGAGAGAGAGGCAGAGACACAGGCAGAGGGAGAAGCAGGCTCCATGCAGGGAGCCCGATGTGGGACTCAGTCCCAGGACCCCGGGATCATGCCCTGAGCCAAAGGCAGATGCTTCACCACTGAGCCACCCAGGCGTCCCTGGACCTTCGACTCTTGATTTGGGTTCTGGTCATGATCTCAGGGTGGCAGGATCTAGCCCTGCATTGGGCTCCATACTGGGCGTGGAGCCTGCTGGAGACTCCCTCTCCCTCTATGCCCCCACCCTGCTCACACGCACTCTCTAAATAAATATGAATTTTTTTAAAAAGTTCAAATTCTTAGCTAGTAGAAGGATGGGTGCCTAGGGCTGGGAGAAGGGAAATGGGGAGTTAGTATATAATGGGAACAGAGTTTCAGTTTTGCAAAAGGAAAAGCAATTTGGAGATTGGAAGCACAACACCGTGAATATGCTTAACACTATTGAACTGTACACTTAAAAATGATTAAGATGGGGATCCCTGGGTGGCGCAGCGGTTTAGCGCCTGCCTTTGGCCCAGGGCGCGATCCCGGGTCTCCGGGATCGAGTCCCGCGTCGGGCTCCCGGTGCATGGAGCCTGCTTCTCCCTCTGCCTGTGTCTCTGCCTCTCTCTCTCTCTGTGTGTGTGTGACTATCATAAATAAATAAAAATTAAAGAAAAAAAATGAAATTAAAAAAAATGATTAAGATGGTGGGTCGCCTGTGGCTCAGTTAAGTGTCTGGTCATGATCCGGGGTTCCTGGGATCGAGTTCCACATTGTCAGGCTCCTTTTTCAGTGGGGAGTCTGCTTCTCCCTCTCCCTCTGCCGCTCCTCCTGCTTGTGCTCTCAGTCTCTCTAATAAATAAAATGTATTTTTTAAATGATTAAGATGGTAAATTTTAGGGATGCCTGGGTGGCTCAGGTTGAGCATCTGCCTTCAGTTCAGGTCATGATCGAGTCCCACATCGGGCTCCCTGCAGGGAGCCTGCTTCTCCCTCTGCCTGTGTCTCTGCCTCTCTCTCAGTGTCTCTCATGAGTAAATAAATAAAATCTTCAAAAAATGGTAAATATTATACTGTGTATGTTTTACCACAATTGTTTTAACTTCTAATGCAACTAATTTTCTTAAGATTTGTTTATTTTTATTTATTTATTTTAGAGAGAGAGAGGCATGGGTTGGCAGAGTAAGAGAAGCTTCCAAGCATATCCCCTGCTGTGTATGGAGCCCACACAGGCTCCATCCTACCACCCCTGAGATCACAACCTGAGCCAAAACCAAGAGTCGGACGCTTAACCGACTGAGCCACCCAGGTGCCCCAATGCAATTTAATTTGTAACGCAATTCATACTAGTAAGACTAATTTCAAGATGGCAAAGGGAAAAATGAGATGGTTGTTAACACAGTACAACTGTGTAAAATTGGGGTTAAAATTTAGGTTGGAGGCCTGTTGGGCTGTGTCATCTCTTAGTTAGCCACCGAACCAGGCACTTTGTACAAAAGTTTAGGTGAGGGATCCCTGGGTGGCGCAGCGGTTTGGCGCCTGCCTTTGGCCCAGGGCGTGATCCCGGAGACCTGGGATCGAGTCCCAAGTCGGGCTCCCGGTGCATGGAGCCTGCTTCTCCCTCTGCCTGTATGTCAGCTTCTCTCTCTCTCTCTGTGTGACTATCATAAATAAATTTAAAAAAAAAAATCCTGTCTTTAAAAAAAAAAAAAAAGTTTAGGTGAGGACACACACTCATTTGTATTCCTGGGAGTGTATTTTAATTATTTCTGCTGCTAAAACATTTAGGTTTACCTCATTAGTCTTCTTTTGCTTACTAAATGGAACAGATGTGGATCTTTTTAAACTTTGTAACATAAACAAGAGAAGAGAGACAAAGGCATCTTCGTGATATGGTGTAAAAAGTTGCCCAACAAACTTGAGGCAACTATTTTGAGACAAATTACTGTCTTTAGATACAAAAGTCGTAGGTCACAGGTCATAAAAGTAAACACGGTGTACCTGCAAGTGGCGGCGAGATAACATGAATTCAGTTAACCCTTGCAGCTGTGTCCCCTTCACCATGGGCTTTGTTTAATTAAGCCAAGTATTCAGCAAGTGCAGGCCATCTGCTGGACTTGCTACCTTGCCCGCTGACCTGTGATACTTCGTTTGTGGGCCACACCCGGGGCCTGCAGGGAAAGCTAGTCCCGGGAATCAAGCTCTTACCTTGGCTCCAATCTGGTTGCCACACTGGCCAATCTGAATATGTACGATTTCACGCATCCTGGCTTTGCGTCCAAGTGTAGGGTCTTCTCGGAATCCTGGGTGTCTGGGAGAGCCGCCCTTCGCTGGTGGGCACCCAACACGGCTCTGGTCACCGCACTGATGGGACCAGCTGACCAAGAGGCCCGGCCGCTACTCTTCTGCTCTCTGCCTGTCATCCTGGTGGAGGGGGTGTTTCTTCCTCTCCCAACACAGAATATCGCCCAGTCACTTCCTAGAGTTCAAGACCAAAGGCTGCCTTTGTTCACAGTGCCTGGAGGCCTAGCACCAGATGTGGGCCTTGCCGTGGTGGACCCTGGGCACCAGCGCTGGCTGCGGGCTCCCTGCTGGGGGGGCTCATGATATGACAAGGGAGCCACAGTTCCCAGCTCATGGGGTGACCAGACCACTTCCAGAGAGCTTTCCCTGACCAAGCCAGCAGTATCATGAGGAATCCTTTGTCTCAACCCATCACTTGACAGGGGAGGCCACGTATCCAGAGCATGAAGTGACTTCACCATAGTCCCACAGCCAGCGAGACATGCCCCTCCCTGGCCTTCAGAACCAGCCATAGCTCCCAGGGTCTCCAGCTGTCTTTCCTCAGGAGTGGTCAGACAGCCACTGAGCTGCCCTTCAGGGAGACATGGGTGGACATTTTTATTTTCACATTGTCTAATGATAACAAGAAAAAAATTAATTAGTATTTATAATAGGAAAAGGCTAATGAGAGAAAGTTTTCTTTGAACTTGGCGAGAGTTGTAAAGGCAACGAGTGATCTTCAGAGTTTGGGGAAGTGCTGTCAAGAGGCACAATCTCGACTCCAGGGCTCACCATCCAGGCCTTTCCCAGCGTGGCCCCACGCTTCCTCTCCAGCCCCTCTCCTGGGCTTTGGTCCTCAGAAAGCGGCCCTGTCAGGGCTCACGATGCTGCTACACTGGGCCACCAGGCTCGTGGCCACCTGCCCTCCCTTGCCACGCACGTTCACACCGGCGTGGCTCTTCCCCTGCCCTGCATGCCGAAGCTCCTGGGGCAGCAGCGGACAACCACACCGGGGGGCACCTGCATCCCCAGACCCCCTCTCCAGTGTTGGCCGAGCTCCCAAGGTCCCCACTCTTGGAACAGCTACACACAGGGACCTGCCGTGTGCTGGGCTCGCAGCGGGAGCCGGGGATGTGGAAATGAAGGAGACCCGTGCGCGGGGGGCTCTGAGCCGATGGAGGAGCTCTCGGTGGCGGACACTGGCCCCTGGACCCGGATTCAAAGGCAGAATGGAAGGTATCAGACCCTCCCGGGGGCGCTCCCTCCCCTGCCTCCCACTGGCAGGTGACCTTGGCGGAAAGGTCGGTCCTGCCTGGGCCGAGCCCCACCCAGACCTGCAGCTCCTAAACCCTGCCTACTTTGCACAAACCTGGGAGGCCCAAGGTGGGAGGTCAGTGGTAAGGACAGGAAAGTCACTAACTGCTTTGTAGGAGGGGCCTTTGGGCTGCAAAACAGCCTCTACTTCTCCCAAAGGAGCTGAGCCTCAATGTAGGAGGAGCTGGAATCCCTCAGGAGAAATCAGACGTGGAGAAGAAGGACTTTGCCCCGTGGGTGCCAGCACAGGCCTGCTTGTCCTGCACTGTCCAGTGACCTCACGGGCCATGTGCCATGTGCGGACCAAGAGCTCCGGGTGACCCTCGGTCGGATCCCGGCCCCGCCGAGAAGCTGCCGTAAAGGACACTAGCAGGACAGCTAAGAAACCTGAATACAGACCGTGTAGACAGAGTAACCACATTGTATCCACCGTGTATTTCCTGAATTCGATCCTGGCCTAACGGTTACACAAATGGAAATTCTTGTTTTCAAGAGATACTACGAAACGTTCAGGGTCAGGAGTCACCTTGCCCCCAGCTTACTGGCAAACAGTTGGGCAACCACGGTAACAATGTGATAAATGTCGAGAGACAGGTTAAACAAATGTGGCAAAATGTTAACAATTGGTGAATCTTTGCAAACTAAGTACAAGATTAATACTCTTGCAACATCTCTAAGGTTGGAATGTTTTTCTACTCCCAGCTGAATGACCACATGATTGCAGATGCTTCTGGCCCAAACCCTGCCACCCCGAAGGTAAAGAGAAGAAAGTGCAATTTCGAGAGGGGGAAATCTGCATGTACTTAGCATTTTTTCACACGTTAAAAAAAAATAGATACATACACAGAATCAACCCTTCAGCTCCCCTAGAAGTTGCCTACCTTCCCTCCTGTGCTCTTCCCTCTGACCCCTCACCTGCCCTCCCCACCCTCCCCTGCTCCCGGGACCTCAGAACTCCAAGGCAGCCCCCCGCTCCGCTCCCGCAGCAGCCCGGTGGGAGCCCCCCGCGGGCCCCAGCCCCCGGTTTTCAGCGGGTTTGCAGCTTATCCTCACGCCGCATCTCCCTGCCAGCCTGGGAGCTGCCGCGTCCCCGCGGGCCTGACACGGGAGGGCCTCAGTGAACGTTTGGGGAGACGCCGGGGCCGCCTTGCTGAGGGCGGCAAGTTTTCCTAAAGCCAATAATGTACTTATTCACGAGGCTGTCCCGATGGTGAGGTGGGGGCACGGCGCCTGAGGACTCGCGCCCCGGGCCCCTGAGCGGTGGTCTAGGCTGAAAGTCTAGACTGTTCCAAGAAGGCTGGATGTCAGGAAGGGGCTGTCGATGAGCGACCGCACGCGCCATTCCGGGAAGCCGTGGCTGGCGGCGCTGAAAGGGGCCGCGTTGGCCGGGCCGAGGCGCAGCTGTGACCCGCCTGTGTTCATTCTCGGGGCCCTCCCGAACCTCGCCCGGGAGCACATTCCTCTTGGTCATCTCCGTTTGCTCAGGGAGGGGAAAGACCAGCTCTCCAGATGGGCGCTTAAAAGGTTTTTCTGTTAATGGGGCGGTTGGCAAAAAAGAAGGGGGGGACCCTGTTTGCTTTGATTCCCAGCTCCAGGTGGTGTTGACTCAGTCTGGGCTGCTCTGCTGAGCTTTGGCCACCGCGAGGGGCGGGGCCGTCGGGCGGGAGGCTTGGTGGCACCAGGCCCCTCCTCCCGAAACCTCAACTTCCCCAGCTATAAAATGGGACGATGGTCCTGAGACCCAGGCTTGCGGGAAGAGAGACGCGGGGGCCGACCCCCAGCACCCCTTCGTGGGTGTGGTTTCTCACATGGGCTCGGCGGGACGGAAGCAGATGTGTGCACAGCACCTGGGAGCTGGGTGCCGACTGGGTGCTGGGGCCCCGGGGGCTGTGCACCGGGGACTGAGCCGTGTGGATGGAGCAGGGGAAGGCGGTCGCTGTGATGGGCAGTCCGCCCCGTCTCCGCGCCGTTGCCCCCGTGTTTGCCAAGCCAGCCCCCGCCCCGGGGGAAGGAGCTCCCCTCTGACCGCCAGCTTAGCAAAAGCCAGAGGACTGGTGGATGTGCGAGCCTCTCTCTGACCAATAGAAACGGCCCCTTCCTGGGATGCAAGTGAGCAGTGTCCCTGGAGGGCGTCCCCCATGTTCTGTCCTCCTGCCAGGCCCAAGGGATTGGAAGTGTCCGTCGGTGATGAGTGATGGGCCCCTCCTCTCCCCACAAGGAAGGGCAGTGACGGCCCAGGGCCGAGCGTTAGTGAGCATGGCCCAAGAGGGCAGAAGGCAGGAGCGGGGCCCCCTGAGCGTGCACCATGCCCATGATGAGGCCCAAGGACGATCAAATACCCCCAGGCCGGCCCTTAGCTGAAGCACCCTCTGTCCCCTGGTGGCCGTGGCCATCAGTCCACCAGAAGATGTGGCGATGGCAAGCCTTTTCCTGCATGACACTTGGCTCTATTATGGGCACAGAACTAAGATGATAAGAAAAACCAAGTGTCACCCAGAAACCCCCAATCGGCTGCTTCCAGACTTCCCCCAGGAGGTGTCCCTCGGCGGTCAGATGGAGGCCCCCCCCCCCCATCCGCTGGGCAAATGAAATGTAATTAGGAGAAAAACAGAGGACTCAGAGATTTCATTGATTTCCTCCGCCCCTGATCCGTCCACTTCTGAGCGCGTTGAAGTTCCTTGAATAACTCCAAGAAGATTGTTGAATTATAGTGTTTGCTTGTGATTCAGAAGCAGAAAATTTTTCCAAATGTCTTAGCAAGAAACTGACATCTGAGGGGCCATTATGAGTGAGTCAGCGGGTGTGGGCAGATCATCAGATGAACCGAGTTCTACTTTCTTGTACTCTGCCTTGCTGTGTGCTCTCTTACTGTACAAGAAAGTTCTGGGAGGATGAATAACTAAGCAGAGGAGAGAAGGACCAGGGAGGCGCTGCTGGTTTTCACCCGCTGGGCGACCCGGGCTCCCTTCCAGCCTTGGGGCCGCACAATGTGACCGCGGTGCCACCTCTCCGGGGACGCAGGGAGTCCGCATCCTGGGCTGTGGTGTCTCTGGTTTCCAGGAGGAAGCACACAGGCGCACGCTGGCCCCCCAACTGCTGTGATTCTGAGGTGTCTGGACACAACCTTCTCAAGCGCATCTCTCGCCTCTCCCAAGGTGTGCAGTTCCTGATAAGCAACCTGCCGGGGCAGGAGCAGAGATAAGCAGGGGATGGTTCAATACCTGGAGCTAAAATCAAACAAAAACGTAGACTTTTTCAAGCCCCATGTTTGTCCAAGAACCCTCTGTTGTAAAGTCTCAGAAATCCATTCGTTTACCCAACCAATATTGGCTGAGTCCGATTTAGGGGCTCCGGGGACCTGGGAGGAGTGGGAGGTTTGCAGAGACGGGACAGCACCAAGCCCTGCCCGCTGGCCTTTGCCAAGTTCTCTGCAGAGAACTTCAAATGCACGGTGTCCTCGGGCCTGTCCTCCAGCGAAGGGACAAGGCTCACAGGTCTTCGGACGCTGACATCCAGGGTACACTACGAGGAGTCAGGGAGCAGACTGGCCAGTGGCCTCCAGCTGGGCATCTGGGGCGTCCGGACCGCTCAGCTCGCCTTCCTCGTCACCTCTGCCCTATAAGGGTGTTGGCCCAGTGGCCCCCACCTCCTGGGCCCATAACCCCACGCATCCACTGTCACCGCTTCTCCGGGAGCATCCCTGCCCGGTCATCAGCAACTCTCCCATCCGGGACCACGGCAGCCCCTACCTGCCCCCTGCTCTTGCCTCCTTCCATTTCACCCTCCCAGTGGTCACAAGAGGGATCTTATGAAGCGAAAATCAGACGTCGTCCCCTACCTTCCGGGAAACAAGCTGCAAGCAGGGTACAGTCAACCCCTCGGCCCTCTTGCCACTGCTGATGTGTTGGGTTCAGATCTCTGATGGGAAGACACCTGTCAGGGCACAGAGGGGGTGAGGTGTAGGCCTCCCCTGGGGAGGGAGGGACGGG